ATTACTCAAGAGTATGCAGAATAGTTACCTGAATCGAGCCCATAATGGGTTATAGATCACGACTCAGTAAATTTTAAAATATTGAAAACCATAAAGATATACGCTCTAGCTATACTATGAGTAAGTTAGAAATAATCAAGTTACCTCTTTAAAGTAACAGTCCATTGGTGACTTCATGATAATTTTTCAGTGAAGTTTTACCATTTGAGCTGTTTACCTAGAGTATGTACATTTATCTTATGTATTTCTTACTTAACAGTTTATTTGAGAAGATATACAACATATTTTAAAATTCTAAGATCAAATTGAAAAATAAGCACACTAAAAAAGAGGAAATCCTAGGGTTGCTACCATACCAGAAAAAGCCTCTCTGAGAGATAACATTTAAGAAGAAGCTTCAAAAAGAGATACAAGCAAGCTTTGTGTGGTTTCAAGGAGGAATGCCCCAAGAGAGGGAGACAGGAGATGAGAATTGTAAAGGTGCTAAGATGAGAAGATACTTTGTAGCTTAAAGAATAGTAGAAGGACAATTTCCCTCGAAGACAGTGTGCATGGGGAAAGTGTAAGGACAGGAAGTTCCAGTATTTGGTGACGTAGGGTCCTGTAGACCAAAGGAGAGATTCGGTTATATTCTTAATGAGATGGGAAGCCAGATGGAAACCTTAATCAGACAAAGTGATTATGAGACATGGGTTTCAAAAATAATCATTCTGAGTCCTCGGTAGCAAACAGAGAGTGGAAGACAGAAGAGTAAAATAGAAGCAGAGAGACTACTTAGGAGGCATTTCAGCCACCAAGACACAATTCCCTTTTGAAAACATCAAGATGATGTTTCTCAGATTGCATTTCTACTGCCTTACTTATAGCACTTAGAATGATTCCAAATATTTCCTCTGCTTGAAAGATATTAACTTTCTCAACTGACCTTCCATTTTCATTTTTAAAACGATGTCTTAATGATAAAATTCCAATTAAAAGCCAGACATATGACTTATATATAAATATGACATATTAAGATGTTCAAATTTTTGTCAATTTTATGGCATTCACTTTGAATCACTTGTATGACACTTTTCAAAAATCTTTCATGAATTTGACTTGTATAGCCAATAAACTTACTTTTGATGTTGGAATCTTTATGTTTTTTTTTTTCCAGGTATAAAGAGAATGCTATGAAATTATCAAGAATTCATCATGATCAGCCAATAAAGCCCCTGGATCGAGCAGTCTTCTGGATCGAGTTTGTCATGCGCCACAAAGGAGCCAAACACCTTCGGGTTGCAGCCCACGACCTCACCTGGTTCCAGTACCACTCTCTGGATGTGATTGGGTTCCTGCTGGCCTGTGTGGCAACTGTTATGTTCATCATCACAAAATGTTGTCTGTTTTTTTGCCGGATGTTTGCTACAGCAGGAAAGAAGAACAAAAGGGCGTAATTAGATCTAGGCCTGATTACGAATAATAAAGAGGTGTCCAAAGGAAGAAGGGGACCAAAGTCCCAGTGGACGTGCCAGTCTTTAGGTGATCTAATGTATCTGTTCAAGCATAGGAAAAAATGAAAATGTTGATCTTTTCACCGATCTTTCTTTAGTTAATTTGTTTTGTCTATGAGATGGAGATACAAGTCCTTACTGTGATTTCCCTGGATTATTTTCTCTTCTTCTCATCTGTCTCACGGCTCATCCAGGACCTCAGTTGGTGAAAGTATCCTCATCTATGATCTCTGAATTTGCAAAAGATGGTTTCTAGGATCACCTACAGGGTGCAATAAATAGCTCCACAATCAGAGAAGCCGTGTCTCCTTCTTGCCTTGCCTACTATCAGATGTTATGTACCAGGTGACAGCAAGGACCCACAATCTAGTGTCTTAGACATCAAGTGGGGTAAAATCTCTCTTGTCATGTATCCTTCATTTCACCTTGTCAATCCTCATGGTTGCAGTTGTTCCTTATGCCATTTGTCACCTGGTCATTTGTGGCATTCTCTATTTTCATAAATGTATTGCCAAAGCTTTGCAATTACATAAATAAATATAAATATTCCATCTGAAACATCACCGCAATTCAGCAGGAAGTAGGGTGATGACTATGTCACCCCTCCTCCCATAGATACGGAAAGATAAATTTGACAGTGGGGAATATGTAACAGGGAAAGACCAAGAACAATTGAAATGTGTTCCAAGATGTCTCTTTAAAAACTCCCCCACTCTTTTTGAG